AAACGCCTGTCTAGGTATACAGTGATCACAACGTTTATGTGTTTATAACAAAAGAAAGTATGTCCTGATAACAATTAACATCTTGGTTATTATTTATTTATTTTCATGTCATTTTACTGATAAGCTGAATACGCTCTGTCAGTAGGTCTCTAGTCTCTAGTAGAAAATATTCTAAACTTCATAAGATAAAATAAGTTCTGAATAATGATAATTGAAATCAGTTTGGAAATCAGTGTGTTTGTATGTGTGGTATACACATGTGTACATGTTTATATATGTGTGTAACTATAGAAAGCAGAGATTGTGAAGTAAATATTTTATGCTGTTTGACTGAATAGGTGATAACTACCTTTTTAAGCAGTAAACATAGTTTCTGAAAGAAATTATGTGAAATTTATATTCTACAGATTTTTTTTCCAGTGTGTTTTGAAAATTATAAAGGCCCAGGAAAATAATTAAACTGAAGTTAGAGAATGTGAAGGGCTTTTCTGATGTCCGAGAGACCCCTCCTAGTGAACACTCGCTAGAAATGCGGTCTCTTGGTCACAGTGGATCAGAACGTCTGGGAGAAGCAGCCCCGTTATCTGTGGTCTCACAGGCCTTTCAGGTGGTTCTGTGCCCACCATGATTGAGAACCTCTGCCTTGATTCCATCTGCCTGTATTGCTCCCTGCCTTGTATCCTAATTCACTCAGAAGACCATGCCTTCCTGACAGACTTGTGCTCTCCCCCTGGACCACAGCCCCTTTATGGAGTCTCTTACAGGGTGAGCATCTCCTACGTCTGTCTGTCTTTGAACGTGGAGGCCACAACAGAAATTACTTTTCATCTCCATACAGCCCCTGCTCAGTGGTCTGTTAGGAAGTGCTGATGAGCGAGTGAATGTGTGCATGAATGAAGGACAGCATTTTAGGGGGAGCTGTGATCAATAAGGTCAGCTGCTCTGGAGAGATCACGTAGAATAATGAATGAAAAATCTATTGGATTTCACAGTTAGGCAGGTGTTGGTGACCTTTGAAATGCTTGCTTCAGCAGAGTGATGGGCAGGAAGCCCAGATTTCTGGAAGTTAGGGTTGTCCAACATGATAAGGACTTAGACATTTCTTACTGACTGCTTATCTGAACATACAGAAACAGAATTTTCCTGGGTGAAATTACTGAATTACTTTTTTGGTTGGTAAACTGTCTCAATTTAGCCTGTGATCTTAAGATGTATGATCATTGTAACATGATGTACTTTCTAGTGATAAAATTAAATGAACTGATTATGAACCCTAGAATGATACAGGATATGCCGCAAGTGCTAACATGGCCATTTCCCTTATTCGTTCATCTTATGGTTATTTTTTTTCACTAAGGCTGTTACAGACATCACTCTGTGCAGTTTATAAAAAGTCAGCTTCTTTAGAATATTCCTTATTTCAGTCACTGCAGAAATTATGAATTTTATTTGGACTGGGAAAACATATCTTCAGTTGAACCAGGCAATATATTTGAAATTGCATCTATCTGCCCAGAGAAGTTCCTCCAAAGGCAGTTGAACCAGTGGCAGTGTTTCCAGTAATTCTGATGAATGGGAAATATAATTTATGACTGTATTTTAATTTTTAGTTTCAATTTGAGAGAGGGAAGGAATAAGGGATTGAGATTGAGGGAGACTGATTGATTGATTGATTGATTGATTGATTGATGATTATTAGATTCATGTAACTGATACGTTCTGAATCTCAAGCACATCATTAGGACTGGTGTGTGGCGTTTCTCAGATTATCTTTTAGCCCAGCACACTCAGTTCATAGGATTCCTGTTTACAACCTCTTATATTAGCTACAAATACAGAGGAAAAGAAGAATCCTCACTAGTTGTCAGTAACGTCCTGAATTTGATCTTACAGCCCATCATTCCACCATTGTTATGGTCAGGGAACAAGACAAATTTGTTTTTCCTCGTTGACCTAACTTGTGCTTCTAACCATGCACGAGTTAGTTCTGAATCCTTCATAGTTGGGGAGATAGTGAAGTTCAACAGAGTCCAGCTTCGGATTGGCTCATCTTATGTTCATTAATAGACTAACTTCTTATTTTGATTTCTCCACATGCTGTCAAAATTTGGTGACTCAGCTGTGTGTGATTGCATGTGGCTTAAATACCAGAATTCAGGAGGCAGAAGCAGGCAGATCTGAGTAGGCGGGCAGCTTGGTCTACACAAGAGTTCCAAAGCAACCAGGACTACATAGTTAATCCCTGTCTCAAAACGCTGGACCCATGAAGCAGACTTTCTTGATGTAGGGTGGAACCTGAATGGAATGATACTCTGTGGTGTTGTGATCAGGGTGTGTTAGGGCAGATACCTGCCAACTGTGCTGTTCAGTCTTCATGGCCTCCTCTGTGCTGTATCTCCTGGACTCTCGAGAACCTTTCATTGTGGACTGGTAGGGCTTTGTCATTACTATTGTTGACTGACTAGCCAAACATCTTCTGCTCTAGCATCTGAGAAAAAAAAATATATATATATATATATGTATATATATATATAATTTCCTGATCTTCATTTATTTGTATATTATATAAATATATATTTATATATAAACGGTATTTAGGGGAAAAATATTTTTGCCTTATATACTTGTCCTGTCACAGTTAACTGAAAATCTCTGCCCCCTCTCCATTCTCATTTGGTCTCTTCCTCTTTTGAAACCACCAGCCCCTTAGCCTCTTAATGACTTGGAACATGGGGTAACACTTTCTTTCCCTTTGGTTACTGAGCACATCAGAATGTAAAGTTTGCATTCACCTTGCAAAGTTGCAAAATGCCAAATGCATGCATGAGATTCAGGATTTGATGTCATACCCTTTCTCCGTGAGTCTTTCAATTTCTCATTTGTTGCGGCCTGAGCACAAGCACAAGATTATTTGATGGAGTTCGGGAGGGATGGTGACAGGGAAGTGGCAGAGGAGCAGATTTCCCCCAGCTTAACACTAGGCTCAAGCCGATCAGAAGGCTGCACCGCTCTGCATGCTGTACTTGCAGAGCCAGATAGTAACACCCCTCCCTTGCCGTTTGCAGCAGAAATGCCCTGTGGAGTGAGAGAAGACTTCAGACTGCAGGCTTGTGAATCCCTTATCTTTCCCAAACGTTAAATTAATTTTTAAAGCTATTTATTCAAAGTTGACTTAACCACCAGAACAGGAGAGATCAGACAAATCAGCTGCAAGAAATGAAGTATGGGGAAACCCGAACTCTTTGACAAAGTATTCCTGGGAGTAAATGTGTTGAATGAAGCCAGCGGGTAAATGATAAGGGCCTTTACACTGTGGATGTAAGAAAGCAATTTATCAAGAGTACATGAACTCTCTAGTGGCTTCAAGTCAGGAAGAAATGAGAGTGGAGGAGGAGCCCTAAAAAATACATTAGAAATACTTTTAAAAAAGAAAAAAAAAACCCTTCTGTGTGCATGCTCTTCTGAGTATCTCCATTACTATGCAGAGGTGCTGGGGTGTTTAAATTGGGGGTGCTCACCTTGGGTTTGGACTGTAGGCAATACTTCTATGAGGCGAAGTGTTAGAGAAAGGGTTTGACACAGGCCATTCAGTAGCCTAGAATCTTCAGGAACCCTGGGTATTCTCATGTGTATCTCTAACTTAAGACAAAGCACTGTCTGATATCTATTTGCCTGACTTAGGAGGTTAGATGTTCATTCCACAGTTTACAGTGTTTGCAGTTTTACTCTCCAGGGTTTATACTCTCTAGTGTATAATTCGTGCAGTTAATTGCCACACCTTTTGGGTCCTCATGAGGAGTTATGGGTGCCTTTCTTGGGCCTTCTCTTGAGTCTTACAGTATCTCTCAGCCCTGCCTCCTTGATCATTTACAGTGGAGAAGCAGGGGACACATACTTTATATTCTCAGCAGGAGGATTCCCAGTAACTCAGATATGAATTGGGAATGAAACTCTGGATCTTACCTTAAGGGCTTTAACATTAGGGGAGAGATGTCGTTTTGTAGAGCTGAGGAGTTACTGACATGTGAAATTCCAAATATCTTCTCTAAGAATGGCCATCCTCGACTCTCTCCACAAGGTAATTTCATTAGCTGAAATCACAGAAACTTCCGGGTGTTTCTATTTTCATCTGACACCCTTGTAAGAACATACTAACAAGGTAACCAAGTAACTTCCGGATACCATGCTAGTGAAGGCAAAGCTATCCCAGAGGAAAACAGGAGAGAAATTTGGAGAAAATCTCCCTTAGCTAATTTGAGTTGTATTTTTTAGCCCTCCACACAGGTGTCTGCCTTATTCTTTCTGACTCAGGCTTGGTTGTGGTTGTTTTGGGTGAGATAATTTCTGTGTAGCCCAGGCCTGGCTTGAATTCACACTTCTCTATATCAGTCCCCTGAGTCCTGCGATTACAGATACACAGTCTTCACCCTGCGGTGTTGGAGCTAGGCCTTTAACTCTGTGGCGTAGGAGATAACCTTCCTCTCCTTTAAGCCATTTAGGAATTATAAGGGGTGTTGGCAGAGGTGACTCCTTTTCTGTCGTGAAAGACAGTCTCACTAAATAGTTCACAGTGGCCCTAGGATGCATCGCGCCACTGCACCAGGTTGAGGAGGTGACTCTTGAACAAGCGATAACGGTAGAGCCTATTTTTGCAGTGAGAATTTGGATTCCTGTGTTTGTGTAAGGGAATAGAAAGCACTGTGATAACTTGAGCTAGAGTTTAATTAGCGAATTAATTAGTCATATTTTTAGAAAAAGCCACAGTTATTAAAAAAAATCCTCAGCGACTTTCTATAAGTTAAATGTTTTGTCTGATGTTGTCTCTCATTTGTAAATACCAAATTAAAAATTGGACAGAACGGGAAGAGGGTGCTCTTGCTTAAATATCTATGGTTATGAGCTGTGTGACAAGATAATGTCCAATAATGCTTCTAATGTTTTTGTCCTCTCTGTCTCCTTACCCCCACCCCATTCCTGGGACATCGGTGGGATGACCACAGCCTTGGATAAGCTCAGCACACAGCACCTGTACCACCCCACTCAAGTGGAGATCGTGCAGTCCAATGTGGTGTTTGACATCAGCAGCTTGATGCTCTACGGGACACAGGCGGTGCCAGTGAGGCTAAAGATACTGCTGGACCGGCTCTTCAGTGTCCTGAAGCAAGAGGAAGTGCTGCACATACTACATGGCCTGGGCTGGACCCTGCGGGACTATGTCCGTGGATACATCCTTCAGGTAGGGGAGGATTTGAGCCTTGAATCTGGGCCACCTCTGGGTGGGTTTGATTAGAGTTCTGTCTACACCTGGTTTTCTTCTCTTGTATATCCAGCTAGGTATACTCTCACTGGTCGGGGAGCCGGCTATTGCGAAGCCTCAACAGTATATAACTGAAGTGAAAAGTGGTCTGTTGACTGGTGTTGCTTTGTGCATACATTTAAGTTCAGCTCTTCGTCTCCAGAGTGGGCTGTCTTTTTGTTTTGTTTTGTTTTTTGTTTTTCTGGGAAAGGGTTCCTCTGAATAGCCCTGGCTTTTCAGGAACTTGATCTGTAGACCAGGCTGGGCTTTAACTCACAGAGAACTTTCTGCCTCTGCCTCCAGGGTGCTGGGGTTAAAGTCCTGCATCACCACTGCCTGGCTCAAAGTGGGCTGTCTTATTTCCCTTACTAAGTCTTACCATCTTTGAGATACATGGGGAGTTTTGAAAATCTGATGTTACCCTCCAGCTGGGTTTGTGAAGGTGTTTCTCTTGAGTTCTGTGAACCCTCACTATTTCTACTATTTCTTATGGCTTCACCCAAATCATAAGAACTATCACTTACATAAACTGTCTGCATATCCTGCAAACTCTAATGTATTCTCAGAGCTGGAAATACTGGAAAATATACACGTGGATGGCCATCTTGTGACCTGGAGCCCCTCCTTTATTCTAGTGACATTTCTAATGTGGTGAGGGCTTCAGATTTATCTGGGAAGCCTATGCCCTCTGCCCTACCAACAGGACCCATCTCACATTACCTTTTGGGTGCTATACCATAAGTCATTGCCTCTGAAATTTCTCATGTCTGTCTGCTTTCCTAAAACCTTTAAGGGATAAATGTTGAGAAAAACACATTGAGGGACCCAAAATCTGGATGATAGAATACTGTCTTATGTTGAAGGAAATTTCATTTGAGAGATAGAATCTAAAGTCTCCTTTCATGTTTTCTGTGGAGGTGTGTCCAGAACTGAGCATTCAAAAAGAAAGATGTTTATGAGCATGCCAGCCTGTCTAGTACCACAGATAAAGCTGATGCTTATGATCTGAGCCAGCCCATGCAATATGCAAGTCCTTAGCTGCCAAATACACGTATTACACAGACTGCATCTATATTGAGTGGCAAGTCCCCAGTCTCTCCAGGCTTTAATCTGGGATGAGAACATACACACTCATGGTTTTCTTTTACATGCTTCCTCTAGGATCAGTGAGGACAGAACAGCAGACAGTGGGTAGAAACAGGAAAAGCTGAAAAGGAGGTAGACCAACCTTTTACTCACATAATTGGTTGACTTTTTAGTTCAGTTTGAGCCTCAGCTTGAAACGCACAGAAGCTTTGGCCCACAGAAGATGGGCTGAGGATGACAATAATTAAATATGGCATTTTCAGTTTGCATGCGTTACTTTTCTGTTGCTTTGGTAAATCCCCATGACCAAGGTGACTTACAGAAGACTTCACCGTGGCTTATGGTGCAAAGGCAGAGACAACAGGTAGCAATGTGGCAAAAGGAAGAGAGCTGAATGTTCATATCTTAGCCATAAACATGAAACAGCGAGTACAACCAGAAATGACAAGACTTTAAACTCTTGAAGCCTACCGCCAATGACTTACTTTCTCCCATAAGGCCACACTTCCTAAACCTCCCCAAACGGCACCACTAACTGGGCACCAAGTGCTTAAATATATGAGCCTGTAGGAGACATTCTCATTCAGATGCTATTTCAGTGAAGCAAATGGGCAGATAAGTCTTAGGAGCCAGGCATTATGAAAGAGTGCAAGATCCAGAATGAAGAGCCAGGACAAAAAATCGCATGGAATTAGTTTTATAGCCATTGTTTATACGGAGACCCTTGGAGTACCAAGTCTTCCCTCAGTAGTTGCCACATCATTAGCATCTCTTTGGATACATACTATTCCTACAAAGAAAGAAACCTTACAGATGTCTGCCTAGAGTCCTTAGCTTAGCTTACAGTTTTCCTTTATTCAAAAGCCTGTCTAGTAACATCTTTACTGTCTCTGCAGTGGCGCTAGCATCTGCATCAATACTGTGTTTCAGTACTTGATCACTGATTTTTTCCTTAGATAACTATTATATATATTATTATATATATTATTATATATATTATTGTGTCTTCCTATTCAAGTAAACAAATGTGTAATGGCTACACTGGTCTACCATTGTAGCAACTCTGTATTAAGTCCTGTCACAGTTTGCTGCCAGTTAATAGAAAACCTGAGGATTTTTATCCATGTAACACTGCTGTTTTCTACTGTTCTGATTTGACCAGAGCTTTTATAAAAATATGAAATAATTATTTATGTATTAATTTCCCCAGTATTCTATTATATATCTAAAATATAGAAAACATACGTCTTTCAAACATACTGTAGATTTTATTTTGTATAAGAGATAGTTGCATGAGAAGTGTGAAAGAAAAAGTTAGCAAAAAAACTCAAATCAACATATATATATGTATATATATATATGTATATATATACATATATACACACAAAGAGAAATATAGAAGCTTCTTTATATAAAGCTTCTTAATGGGAAAGAAAATGTTACATATAAAGAATATTGCCATTAACATAATTATGGTTAATTTTCATTAATGTAAAATTTAACAAATCTTAAATTTAATGTGTTATTTCTTAAGATTCTAGAATTAGAAAATCATAGATTTTGCATTTTAGAGGAACTCTAAGCTTAGTTTCTTTCTTCTTTTATTGATAGAATTGACATAGTATTGATTTTCTTTAAATGGCATGTTCTGTCGTTTAGCATTTGTCATATACTTGTTCTGTATAAAGCACTTCTGGGTTAGAATAAAAGCAAAAGGTTGCAGGACACAAAAACATTTAAAAAAATCTTCATTGAGAAAGCATTCATTTTGTAAAAGACAAAAGGACTTGGGCTATAAAAACATCCCCTTTCTTCTCAAGCTTTAGGCCAGCTCTTGATTACTAGCCAGTACTTTAGAATTACGTGTGGTAATGATGAGGTATGCACAAATGACTTTGAAATAATTATATGTAACATTTTTGTACAGGTAGACTATAAAATGTTCATCTGAGACCTGGGGAACCCTATAATGCACTATTAGTGTACAAGTCATTTTATCTGGCTAAAACTCAATTGTCTTGTAGCCCTCAAGGCATCAATTTTAGCATTATTGCTCTCAACAACAGTATATTGAATATTATGTCAGTTAAAGGAGAGTAATTATCAAGGCAGGTTAGGGTGGCTGTTAGTCTTACCACATATTGACTTGGTTAGCAGTTGGCTATAGATTGTGTTACCGGACAAATGAAGATGTACGGTGAGTTGAACTGGTCAAGCCAGGATATTAATCTAACTCTCTCTGGACCCAAACCTACATTCTTTATATATAGCCAGCTACTCCTAACTTTAGCAAGAGTTTTGAATGTGGAGGAGGGCATGTCGTCTGCTTTTTAATCTGGGAATGTGTGTTTGAGGGACAAGAGCAGGCCATTCACAACTCAGATGAAAGCTTTCATTTGTGTGTGATGTTCAAAGAAAAAGAAAGGTGACAGGGTTGCCACGCAGTCATTGTAAAGACTGGCGGATCTGCTCAGGAGCCTTTCACTTAGGTGGCATCTGGGTGCTCTGTAAGCCAGCCAGTTGAGTGCAAAATGCACAACATAAATTGAACCACAACCATATAAGAAAATGGGCCATTTCCTAAAGGTGAAAATCCCAGTGTTCTTCTGTGTACCGCTAAAGTCTTCATTCAGAAAGGAGAGCGCAAGCTTGCTCTGGAGAAGTAAAATGGGAATATTCACTTAAATGCTAAGTATATTTTTTGCGACTAAATAATAATAATAATTATTATTATTATTACAGGCTGTTCTATACAGATACATTTATTGGTAACCAATAAAAACAGTGGCCTTCATGCCATCTTGTTCCTCATATTCTTTCTGTCTTTGACTTAAGAACTAATAATACAGATGATTATCACTGTTGATTAGTCATTTAAAAATAAAATTTTTTTGCGTAGTCTCTCTTTAACTTGAACAGCTAACTTGCCTGGGTGCATGTACCATCCTGTCTTTGGAACTCTCCCCACTCCGAAACCTTCCAGGATTCTAAGAACCAGTTCTGACTTTGTGAATAATTAGCAGTGTCAGCAGGCTGTGAGCAGAGCAGAAGTAAAGCACATTGCCAGTCACCGGGGGTCCTAATGGAGCAAGCCCTGCATTTCTAGCATTTCTCTCTCTCTCTTTTTTTTTTTTTGTTTTTTGGGTTTTTTTTTTTTGTTGTTGTTGTTTTTTGTTTTTTCGAGACAGGGTTTCTCTGTAGCTTTGGTGCCCGCCCCGGAGCGCTCTGTAGACCAGGCTGGCCTAAAACTCCCAGAGATCCTCCCACCTCTGCCTCCCCGAGTGCTGGGATTAAAGGCACAGGCCACCACCGCCCGGCATTTCTAGCACTTCTCAAAGACTGACTTTAGCAAGGAGTCTAGCTTTAGAGGTGGGCGGAGCCTCTGCTGGAGCCCTTCCTGAGCAGGCATGATACACATTAGCATAATAAAAGCTCTGAGAACTTGAAGGAAGTACCTCTTCTCAGCATGGGGTACACTTAGGAAGGGGTTCCTCTACCTGTAAGTCCCCACTGTTCTGCCCACATGGGTGATTTCTTCCCCTGTAGGAATCAGTTGAAATCCAGTTTTCCACCAGGACTAGCTGAAACACTGGAGTCCTTCCTTCTGTTGTGATTTCTATCTCATGATTGCTTCCTTCAGGCTCCCCGCCACAGTTTAAATACAGTCAGTTGTTAAAATGTCTCTCCTGCCATTGGGGCAAAGTAATACAAATTCACTCACTCCATATCAGTTACAAGCAAATACTATGTGCTATATAATGATATTTTGCTGTGGTGCTCATGCAATGCCCAGCAATTCCAGTTGGGCAAAGGACTTAGTAGGGGCGGACCCAGCAGGTACAGCTGCGCTACTGAAGGTAGCAAGAAGCAAGGGCTTTCCGGCTTTCTAGCAGTGGTCTGTGCAGAATAAATATGTTTGTGGTATCTGTGCGTTAGAAAAATGTCAATATTAAACAAACACATACTTAAATGACCCCATGAGAAGTAAATTCAATGTTTGCTCTCTGGATCCCCATCCAGCCCCTCTTGTAAATTTCAGTAAATTAACATTTGGGACGTTGAGGTCCAAAGAGGTTATGTGACTTTTCTATGATCACAGAAGTTTCTAATTGGCACGGCGATGCACAGTGAGCTTCCCGAATGTAAGAACCACATATCTCGTATTCCCTTCTTAGCCCACACCCAGCCCGCATGTCGACTGTTCTCCAGTGTTCTGCGTGGGAAAGCAGATTCATGACTTGGATTCCTGGCTTAAAGTCTTAACAGGAGTATGAAATTAGGCCTTAGCCTTTATTTCACGTAAGTCCCTCACCTGTAAAACAGCATAATAATAGCACCTCACAGCTTTGTTGTGAAAATAAGACGAGGTACATGAAGGGCTACTAATGCAGCCAGTGACAGCTGTTAATATGATGGCAGAAAGATGATAAATTATGACAGACTGTCCCCTACCTGCTCATTTTAGTTTATAGAATAGCCTTGAATTCTGGAATTTTATATTTCACTATGCCCCTTAGAGCAGAATGCTTTTCCAACCAATCAGACACAAGGGTAGTTGTTCTTCTGTTTTAAATCAATTACATGTACATAATGTCACACACACACACAAACATGCATAGGCATTTGAACATATTTGAATGTAAATGAGAGGCAGAAGAGAATAGTGACAGAGACACTGGACACTGCAGGGGGACAAACTTGGTATGAATCTTAGTTTCATCTTTGACAGCTGTGACTTAAGAGCTGTAACAAGATATAACTTGTCAATATCAGTTTCTCCATCTATAAATACTATAATATAGTGAAATTAGGTTTAAATATGTCATGCCATAACTAGCCCATGGCACACTTTATTAATAATTATTGCTCTATGTATGTTGGCATGTGTGCTTTTTAAAAGAAATGGTGTGGTCTATAAGACACTGTTCTTTCTCTTTCATCAACGCTTTTGGTAACTCTCTGAGTCCCTGGTGCGGAATAAATGAGACTTGTTAAAAACAATTAGAGTAGGCTTTAACATGAGCCTAAGGTCGTAGGTAAGGCTGCAGCTCAGTGGCAGAGCATTTGCCTAACTGGTATGAGGCCCTGAGTTCAGTTCCCAGCACTAAAAAACAAAATAGGCAGATTTTTACATGAGTAATAGTTGGCCTCACAAGCTTTTAGGGAATTCCAGAAGCAGAAAGAAGAAAGTACCTATATACAGTTCATTTAAGGAGACTTTTAATCAGTTAATTACTGTGCACCAAGTCCACCAACACAGGTCTTTCCGAAAGCCCACGCGATAATGAGCAAGACAACCATGAACAGTTGATGGGAAGGAAATGACTTGATGAAAACTAAGAGACCGTGCAAATGACTGAAGGAGGGATCATTCGATCCCAGGTAAAGATAGGATAATCGTCATACTCCACAAGAAAGCTGTCCTTCATCCTGTCACCGGTGTGTGAATCTTTTTCAGAGGAAGAACATACGCATACATTGTCAGTATCCCCGTTTCTGGCAGGGACTTGCAGACGATAGATGATTTGGGGCAGTGCCTCATGTTTAAATTGTTTGTTTTCAGGAGTTCCTAGGTCATCTACAAACACCCTGGCAGTTCTCCTAGCCTTCCTATTAAAGAGATAGTTTGGGAGACTTTTATCCCTAGTTTTAAAGTTACCATAGCTAAAGGCCTTAGGCAGACTTGGAGCTGGAAGTTGAATGCAGGGATTTTGAATCTTGGCAAAGCTCTAAGTATTTGAGCAGGAATGAAAACAAAGTCTTTAGACATCAGGATGCAGCTTGATGTTTTATGCTCAGAGCTAGAGTGAAAATACTCTTCCCTTTACCCTTGTGCCATAGAACCAAACAGCTTACCAAATTCTGGGATGGGATGCTGAAACTTCAGGAATCGGGCTGTGTATTGAACACAGAAAGAGGCTTCTGCATACACCAGGAGAAACAGAAGTGAGCCCACCATTCCTTAGCAAATTGTAGTAAACCAGTTCAGGTTTACTTAGATGCACATTCTGTTTGGTTTGTCAAGACAGGATTTCTCTGTGTAGCCTGGCTGGTCTGGAAGTCTGTAGACCATTCTGGCCTTGAACTCTGATGTGTCTGGTGCTGCTTCTCAAATTCTGGGTTTAAAGATGTGTGCCACTACCACCTGGCCTGCGTATTCTTTCAGATGGCGTTGATTAAACTCTTGTTGTCTCCAGAGTAGCTCTCCTATATGTCCTTCACTGAAGTAAGATGGACAACTCCTGGACTTCGGGTTAAATCTGAAGTGAGCCACCAATTAGCTTTCTAAGTATACCAGAATGACATAGCTATAAGTTTCTTTTTCTTGGTGGTACCTTCTTAAGAAGACTTTTCAGAACAAACAGTTATAACATCATAGGTTCATGGTGCAGCTCAGTAAATTTAATTCCTTAAGTAGATCAGGCTTTAGTCCCTGTCTCTGCCCTTTAAGTTTCTAGGACGACATACATTTCATGGTTTCCCTATGCTCCCATACATTTTATTTGAGCCACAGTGTGTTTTTCCTCCGTTTGTCAGGAGGGGCAGGTGTTTCAACAGTGAAGTATGAGGAAGGTTTTAAGGCCAGGCTCTATTAGCTTTTTTCTTTTGGGGGTGCAGCTGCCTTCCACTTCAAATACTAATGTGTGAAACTGCAAAGGACTGAGAGGTAGAAATGAGATAAGGATCTGTAGAGGCTTCTGGAAGCTTTTACTCCGTCCATACAGATGGGACGAACATAACTAAAAGTACATTTGTCTGATTCATGTATGATGTTGGCATAGGCAACGCTGACAGCAATCAGAATTCAGTGTCACCACAGCCACGTGGAACTAGGCTGTGAAGATGTGTTCAAACAGGCGGTCCTTAGGGGGGAGCATGAGGAGCTTTCTTCCGTGCAAGGAGAACACTATATTTGATAGAGATAGGACTAAGTTTATGGGGAAATTGATTTCACCTGATTGCCAGCTCTGAGCATGGGTTCTGTGGGCATGGATTTTGATTAGTCGGTGCTTGTATACCCCTTTCTAAGTGAAGTGATTCTGATGGCTCACTAATCCAGCATTTGTTTTTACAACCCTGGGACCTGGTACATAATTACCTTACCATTGTGGTCCTGTTTCCCTCTAGGCCGTTTTTCTACTTATTGGTGGCAATGGAGTGATGGTTCACTGTTTTCTCTCGCTCCCGCTAGCACTTTCTCTTCTACGCTCAAAGGGGACTTCAGGTAGGGACTTGGAGAATAGGCGAAACAGTGATAGGTATGCATAGAGCAATGGATTGCCTCGGACGACTACATCAAAGTCGAGTGAAGAAACCCCACAAGAGAATGAACTCCGGTCAGCGGGGCATTTTCTCTCCAGAATTCACAGCCTGTTTCCTGTGTGATTCTTATGTAGAGACCCCTAAAAACACGCTTTAGATTCAGAGAGCGAAAGGTTCTCGTGTAATTTTCTCTAACAAAGACATAACAACAGTGTCACAGGCAGCTTCCTAGTTAGTATGAGTAATGTGGTTTTGTATTTTCTATTTTTATTTTAATATGCTTTTCCCTACTGTGGATTTTTGTGTTGTGTTAAAATTAGTGTTACACAAATGCGGTAATCTAAACCGTGGTATGTTCTGCATTTTTCTGAAATACCGCTCTGAAGTAAAAACTCTGTTGGCAAACGCACTTCTGCATCCTTAGAGGGGGGCATAGACCCTTGACGGTTGATCATAGTAATCCAGACTTATAAAGGCATTGGCATGTGAACTTTGGACTTCATAGACTGGAGGTTTTGTCTCTAGCGTACCTGATCACATTAGACCTCTTTGTTCATCCTGTGTTGGTAATACACAAAATTGGGGGGGGGGGTCAGAGAAGCACCATAAATTGCCTCATTTATTTGCTTGTATTTAAATATACAGTCATGGTTAGAAGTAAAGGAACAATAAGATACGTTCAAATTCCTCTCGAAAGAGTAATTAAGAGCCCCTTGTGTCCGCGCTGGCATCTCTGCCAGCAGCTTGAGTTCATGCTGAGCATGTTCCATTGAGTCAGCCATCCCTCTCTCAGCAGCAGGCTGCTGCTCCACGCACTGACTTGTGAGGGAACGTCCCTCTTGCAGTAGCCCTGGGCCTGTGCCAGAATCTGGGATCGGGAAGGCCAGTGCTGGGAGGCTGTCAGTTCTGGATCCGGGTTCCGGTGTGTAATAGCAGAGCCAGGGAAGCCGGTTGAATTGGTGGCCAAAACCATGATTTAAAAAAATAAATGTCCCTCCCTTTCCTTTCTTGTAGTGCTTTGTTACTTTAAAATATGAGTGTCTCTGTCCATTGATCCTCTGGTGACTTCCTGCTGGATTCAGATTGTGGTTTCTTAGGTGAAAAGGTCAGCGTGTTATTCATCCAGCCACACATCCATGGCGATTAGCTGAAAGCAGCCCAGGACATTTTGACATGGCAAGGCCTAGGGTACCTGAAGGAAGTGTATTTCTTTCCTGCCTCGCTTTCCCTCTGTCTGTCTTCAGGGAGTGGGGGAGGCGCTCATTGCCAGTGTATTAACTGCTGCACACCCGTGGCCATAGGGTGCGGGAAAGCCCTTGAGGACCAAGCACGTCCTCTCCGGAACAGCGTCTGATTTAGTGCTGTTTCCTCGGGTCTGCAGTGTCTCAGGGGGCCTTTTTCCCTCACAGCACTGATCTTTCAATGAGGTGCTAGTGTCTGTCCCGAGCAATAACAGGGAGAAACCATGAAGTGTGAACAGCTCTTATTAGAGGGGTAAATGTCATTAATGCTTTTGTAGCCTCCCTACAGTCTGAATGCTCTTGTCAAGAGAGCGGAGGAAGCCTCCTTTAAATCCGAGAGGCAGAGTGCAGATGCTGAAGTTTTACATTTTAATTAAGCAAGGCCATTATCCCTTTTGCTTGTGTATTTTTGTAATCACCAATACCTGTAGCCTTAGGACAGTCTCTAAATTCAGGCTGGGAAAAAATGGTTAATGGAAATTATTTTTAAGGACTTGCGAAACAGTTTCCTCAGTCAGCTTTAGGAAATCTTTGGTGGTGGCAGAGCAGGTGCCTCTCTTGGTTCTGGTGTTTTCTGTATACCTATATGCTCCTGTAAAAATGCATGTTAATATATGATATGAGAAAACACTAGCATGTCAAATTTCTGAGTGTAGAATAATAAAATATTTAAAGCACCTAACATTTAAATAAAGATTTTATTATTTTCCGAACATACACAGAATATTTCTGTGACCATTAACTTCCTATATGAAAATTTTCACCTTCTTTGAAACAAAAATTTTATAGACAAGAATTTACTGCATCTCTTCTATTAATTTCTCCTTAGTCTTGGTTATATCTTTGAAGTGCAAAACAGAAATAGTTATATGGCAGAAAAATGAGGGAAATGAAATATCCTTTACTCTGGGATCAGGTTTTAATAAAGAGAAATTGTAAACATTGTTAAAACATGGGAAATAATCCAAAAAAAGTTAGAGGCAAATAAGAAATAAAATAATTTCTGATGCTTGTTGCTAACTTAGAAATGTATAATTTGATATAGTGTTTATTTAGAGTATAATTTTTAAAATTTATCATTCTTTGCCCCCTTTTTAATACTCCATTTTTATTTTAGTTTTGTTTTGCTTTTGTTTTTTAATTTTGCTTCTTATTTATAAGACTGAAGAAAGTGAATTCATCCAACTGAGACTTCAGTGGCCACTGCAGACAAGTGGACAGAGACTCAGTGGGCACTGCAGACAGGTGGACAGAGACTTCAGTGGTCACTGCAGACAGGTGGACAGAGACTCAGTGGCACTGCAGACAGGTGGACAGAGACTCAGTGGCCACTGCAGACAGGTGGACAGAGACGCAGTGTTCACTGCAGACAGATGCACAGAGATTCAGTCGGCACTGCAGACAGGTGGACAGAGACTCAGTGGGCACTGCAGACAGGTGGACAGAGACTCAGTGGTCACTGCAGACAGATGGACAGAGACTCAGTGGGCACTGCAGACAGATGGACAGAGACTCAGTGGCACTGCAGACAAGTGGACAAAGACTTCAGTGGGCTTACAGACAGTTGCTAAGCAGAGACTTCAGTGGGCACTGCAGACAGTTGCTAAGCAGATACTTCAGTGGGCATTGCAGACAGGTGCTAAGCAAGGCAGCGCATTCCCATTTTAGCTTTCGGTAGTGGAGTGTGACTGCAGCTACACAAAAGAGAACAAAAATCATGAGCTGCATTTTGTAACAGATCTATAGTTAGTACAATAACCAGTTATATGTAAATGGGTGCTTTGGCCATATTTACAACTTTACTGACAAATTAATGCCTTTTAAAAAAGATACTTAAGCCTTTCTCAGATCCCTTGGTTCTATTGTTAGTTTAGACTCTGCCATTAAAGAACTGACAAACAGAAGTAACTTTTAGCTTCACCCCGAAGTTTTGAATTATGGTATTTAATTTTCTTTCGGTTTAATTAGATTTTGCTGTCTGTTACAGAAATATCTGCTTATTTATCAAATTATATTTGCTTCCTATCTATTCTTTAGCTCTTAAATGATTTGACAAGTTAGTGAACGCTTATTTAAGTTCTCTTTTCAGTGAGAATGCCAGGGTGATCCATTGGAGCTTAGTGCAGACCATGTGTGGAAGCCACTTGTGGAGGCATCGCTTAGGACAAGGTGGAATTGCCATTGCCAGTGCTGCTTGGGGGGAAATTGCATCAGTTAGAATGTAGAAGTTTTACGTTCAATTATAGCATACTTTATAAAGAACATAAACTTTGGAGGGAGTTAGCATTCTGCGTGTTCGTTTCCTTTGCTCGGTGTGTAGAATTTTAGTCACGGGAAGATTGTTTGGTAAAGAAGTTCTTTGTGCATATAATTAAGAAAGTGACAGTCCAGTGACAGTAGGGAGTCCCTAAGGAAGGTATTCTCACGTTTGGGGCCCTATGCAAAAGAGACCTTTAATAGCACCAAGCGCCTTGCCTGCCCCTTTCCCTCTGCTCTACCTCTCATCTAGACTCCGGCTGCTAATAGGTAAATTATACTTCCTAAGGTTCACATTGTGGAATAACTTTGATGGCTGGAGTATCAAAATTACCAAAGATGTACAGTAAAACTCGGAGAATGTTTCCCTAGATGGAGGAAGGCTTTATTGTAGCGTAGTTCTCGCATGGAAGGGGACCTGGGCTGGGGCCACTGGAGTGGAGTGTCTTTGAAGGGGGACTTTGTATAGAATGCTGTAGAGTAGGGTTTTCCTTTAGGGGTTATTCACCAGAAGACATTGCTTTGAGAGCCCAAACAGCATCCTGGGTATAAGCTGTGGTCTCCCAGACCTAAGGAGTGTCCGATAGTTAAATTCCACAAATGTTTAAGATTTGCCTATACCTTGGCTAAATGTGTCTTGTCCTAAGTCTGGTTGCCATGATTTTAGACAGGTTGAGCTTTTGTTCTGATCGCTGGTTGCATTTCTTTATGAAGGGGTAAGTGTGCCTTCTCATAGATGCTTCTAGAAACTCAAGATGGCAGAATGTAAATGCTGGTATTATATGGTAACAAAAAATATGTCATTTCTCTACAGCATTCTTTCATTCTTGTTATATCTGTATGTTTCTATAATCACCTTCATGTATCTGAATACTGAGGAAGTTTTGTGAGGCTCATTTTTTTCAGTGTTTTGAGTCTGTTTTGGGGAGACCAAACATATTTATGTATTGAATAAGTTTGCATCTTTGAGTATTTGTCTTAAGGACAGTACTAAAATCCAAATAACGTGCTTGAGAATGGCATTCACAAAACTAAAGCATAGTTTCCTGTGGAATAAATATACAAGTGGTATAAATATCTTCCCCTGTCTAGTTGTTGAAAACTTAAATAATTAGGTAAAATCTGAAACCTCTAAATATGTTGAAGGAATATTTTTCTACTTAGAAAAAATTCTGTAAAATGTAACATGGTTTTTGCTTTTATAGGGCTTATGAATGTGTTGTAAATTAGTTAATAACACTATATACTTATACATGCTTCATACATTTACATATTTTTTGTTAATTTGTTACTAAGTAGTAGTAATTGCTTGTATTTAGTAGTAATGACCTTGAGGGCCACCAGGTAATTGAACTTTTTAATTTTAATACAAATTTGGTTTAGAGCAGACATTAAATTCTGATTTGGAAAACGTTCACCAAATATTCCCTTATTTATTTATCAAATATGTGTTTGAAAGTGTGAAAATACAAAATTCATGTAAAGGTTATTAGAGTTAGATTTTTCACATTTTTTCTTTAAAGCAGAGCTTAGTTTGAATTAGAATTCTAGGCAGAGTTTCTGAGAAGTGAATAGAGCTTTATTTAATGTAGCAGGGACGATGGGTAGGGCTTAACTGCAAGACTGATGGGAAGTAGGTTTTGTAGTTTGTCTTTATGAAATTAAGAAAAAACAAATGAATACAAAACCAAAGTCTAGAAATGCATACTAGATAGAAATATAGTACAAGTTTACACAGTTTAATAGTGATGTGAAGGGCTGGAGGAAGGGATTCGGTGGAACAACAGCAAGAAAATGTACATAGCGGTTATAGATACCTTTTGTTGAATTTGACCACATCTCTTCTTTTTAGTAATGTTTTGTATCATGAAAAAGGTCTATAAAAATGCAGAATAGTCTGATGGAAGCTTTGAAGAAGGACTAGGAATGCGGCTGGAACCAGAGCAGCAGCGTCAGTGGAAGTTGATCTGTCAAATGAGTGCATCGGTCCTGCACAGTCCCATGCAAATTATCCGAAAGCTACTGGCTTCATAGGGGTAAATTGAGCATCTGCAGTGAGTGGACAATGACCAGGGCTGGTGGTCTAGGATGACCTTCCTTGTTGTTCATTAGGACAACCAAAGTGATTGGTTTGCTGCTCACTGTTTGTAGGTTAGCCACAGTTTGTTCATAGATGCAGCAGGAGAGGGAAAGCTGAGTGTGCAAGCCTTTAAAGGATCTGTTTCCTTCCTAGTTATTGGTGCCCTATTGGTCAATGCAAGTCAAATCACAAAGCCAAGAGTGAGCATTGGCAAGGTGGGTCCCAAGACATAGACAAGGGGATGGGGGGTCATGAACAGTTTGGGGTCAGTACTGTAGTAAGTGGTCATCCTAAAGCTCCGGGAGACTTATTGGTAATTATGCCCACATGGAACTGAACCTGTGCCAAGACTCTTGTTTGGAAGTCGTCACTGTATTTGAATTAGAACTGTAGCAGAGACTGAGATAAAATCGTCTATCTGGATGTAGTTGATGAAGACATGCAAGTTACTCACAGTCAGACTCCAGGCGTCAAAGCCAAGCACATAGGGAACTCGACAGCCTGTAAGGTTGTAGTTTAGCTGGGTTTTCAGTGACCTTGGACATCTGTTCAAACTTTGTAAAAGGGCCCTCATCTTTCTGAAAACAGTCAAATGAGAACAAATCTTTAAATTTCCTTTTAGTTTACTTAGAATTAATGTCTTTATTCCAGTTCTAAAGAAGAGAAATCTCTTCTTTAGAAGCCACTTCCTAGCCTAGGCTAGCCTCCAACTCGCAATCATCCTGCGTCCCCAGTGCTGGGACTGTAAACATGTACCACCACCTATAGTATTTTCTTTATGACATCAAATTGCACTGCATGTTTTTAGTTCACCTTTTAATAACACTTGGGCAATTTTAAAACATAAACAAAAGGCTCCAAAGTTTGTATTTCCTATTTTTACCCCTCGGAACCAAGCAACCTCCTAGGATTCTAAAATTATTTTTTTAACATTTGGAAGTATGTCAACTTTGACTGAAGTTGGAAAACAGAAACTTATTTTACTTTCCAAGTTTACTGAAGTAGAGTATATAACACTTTAGTGGCTTTCTTTGACAGTTGCTTTGCAGTAAAAAGTTAGACACCAGCAGGTTATATGTGTTTTTGAAGAAATCATATGTAAGTTTATAACAGAAATATGTAAAGGCTGTTGTCCTACTATGTGACTAGGAAATTAGTTTAATCACAGCTTTTTTGTGCTCCTTAGTCATAAATGGAGAAACCTTATTTGATTTTAATGTAACACTTTCTTTTTTCAATGTGTGTGACTTTACCTACAAAAGAAAATAAAAATAAAAGATACTTGGTAAAAAACAGGATAGTGATTATATACTCTGGAAGGAAAACAAGTACTTTATTATTTACATAAATTATAGATGACAAAACTGCTATATAGAGCAATTGAAACAATAAGTTTTTGTTTTCTAATATGATGTCTTAAGCAAGATAAAGAACAAAGGAAACAAAATGTGAATAAAAGAGACATTTGCAGATGTTTAGAAATGATATCCTCTAATTCTTTATGATTAAAAGTCATGTAATTTTGTAAACACAGAGAGAGTCAGCCACAGTTTGGTGCAGTTCCATGTTCCATTCCTGCCCTGCTACTCATTGATCCTCCTGCTATGGCCAGTTTCAGGAACTTAATCAAGAAAGAGCGCTTACACCAGATGATGCCAGGAAAGCTTCCGTGGGGAAGCACCCAGATGAGGACCCTCTGATAGCATGCATTTGCATTGAGTAAAGAGTCTGTCTGCTTAAACAGGAGCACTTTCCTCACTGGCCTTTGTTTGGAAGCACTTAAACAATTATTGATTCATTCGGTGGTCACAAAGCCTGCCTGTGTTAAGCAGACTTGAAGGTTTAAAAAACCTGTTTTAGAAGTCTGACTTTTTTACAGTTATATTGAAACCTCCTATGTTACTATTAATAAGAATGATTGTCTTAAAAGTTGGTTTTAGATGGTTTTTCACTAATAAAATCCACTTCTATAAAAATTTGCCAGCTGCTATCAGAAGATCTATAAAACATACATGTTTGACTCTGGTAACATTTACCCTGCTTTTTCCTCCTTGTTGGCATTCGTAAGATTTCTGAATGGCTAGTTTCTAACCTATATTCATACATTTTTACACATGAATTACAAATAATAATCTTAAAATGTAAGGTTTAAGTTTATAACTAGAAATTGAAAGATGAGAATGTACAAATGGATGGATGGATGGATAGATTAGACAGACAGACAGATGCAGGATCCTCTTCCTACTCCGATGTAGGTTCAAGAGCAGTTCGTTCTGACGGGCACCTCTCCAGTTGTGCTGTGTGTTTAAGGGGGAGTAATTTATCTCTGCATGTTGTTTACATCTGACCCACAGTGAGCTGCCTTCCCCACTGGCTTTGGTTCAGTGCTGTTTTATCCTTTCATACTTAAGTTTTTTTTCATTTCACTACAGATCCATTTACAATTTTTTAAAGCAGTGATTTGAGGTGGTTAGGATTTGCTAATTGATTATAACACACAATAATTCAGGCATATACAGAAATAAAAAACCTGAGGGCCTGAGACTTAACCTCGTTGTTTATTTCCAAAGACCGTGTAGAGTGTCTCTGTACAAGACGCAAACCAGATACTCCACTTGTCATATCTAATATTTTTCATATCGAGAAATCACACTCCATGTTATATTTTACAAGACTTCATAAAAAATAAGCGATCCAAATAGAATATATAGTTATTTTTTAAATCTGTCATGGCAAAATTATCTTTCCCCAAATGGGGACAGATGGGATTATAAAACTTAATGAGTATGCATTTTCAAGTGAAGTCTATGGTCTGAAATGAGACAACCATCCGTTACTCAAAAGAAAGTTGTATTGATTAAATTATGTTGGTTAAATGCTTTCTAGCAGCCTTCTAAATGAGGAGGGACCTAATTTGCAAGTATTTGCTAATTATGGTGAGAATGTCCAATTGATTTCAGGCCATCACTCTGATATTCTGTGAAGTTGGAAAGAAAACTTCACTTACACACTTTATTGCTTGAGTCAAGGTCGCCTGTAGTCTAGGCTGGCCTCAGTCGCACCGTGTGGCCAAGGATGGGCCAAAACTTGTGAATCTTCTGCTTCCATCTACTAAATGTATACAGGTGTTATCCAGCAGTCCAGGTTTATATATTCTGTATGCAAAGTATGTACAGAAAAAGACTTAAACAAAGATCAGTAATCTCAGTAGCATAGATGATTGCAACACAGAGTTGCATGTGTCTGTTACCCTGGTTTTTAAATTATTACAAGTTTATTAACTTAATTTTTAATGATGTCTCTGAGTGCTCAGCTTATAGAATTCCCAAACATACCATAGGTGTTTGTCATGGCTGGAGTGAGCCAGTCCTGGTGAACCAAGCATCAAGTCATTCCTCATGAGTGGCAGAACAAGGACAAGGGCTGTGGTCAGGGCCTGCTGTGGAGAGGAGCTCTATGTCTGCATGGACTGGGAAGAAGGGTGGCCCTTTTCTATTCACATTATTAAACACCATCTGGCCCTGTAAAGTTCGGTATTTGTTAGTACACGGCCTTGGATAGGAATTAAATTCTAGAATCTTTTATTGAAAGGGTAGAAAAATACTAAAGATTTAAAATTTTTAGTATGATTTTTATTTATGTTTTTATGGTAGGGTCTAACTATATCATTCAGGCTAGCCTTGAACTCAGGATCATCTTATGTCTGCCTTTATAGTACAAGGACTACAGGTATGAACCACTCTACTTGGCCTTTAACTATGGTTTTTGTTTCTCAATTTTTTGGCTATTATGTGCCTTACAGTTGACCATTAAAAGATGTTTACTTTGATGCCTCACTTACTAGCTTCTGCACTTGATATCCCAAAATGCAACTCCAGTAGCAAGGCTAAGCTATCTAGATAGTTGAAGAGGCTATGTTAATAGTGCATGCAGAACATGAAGTAGTACATTTGTTGTTGCAAAAGAAAAATAATTATTCTTAAAGTTGTTAAGATAGACTAGCAACTGAAAAGAATGAAATAGCATTAAATTAAAGAATGCCATGCAGCTAACAGGAGGACTTTAGATGTGCATGTGTGGGATGTGTGTGTGGGGGTCTCTCACTAAACTTGTATCTACATTGGCAGCCAGAAGACTCCAGCAACCCCTGCCCCAAGCCCTGGTTTACAGCTGTGTCTGCTGCCTGGCTTTCTTTGTGGGTGCCCGAGATTCAAACTTAGGTCCTTAGATTTGCACAGAAAGTGACCGCGCATCTCCTGCATGCACAGACACCTTTGCAGACCCTTAGATGTTTTTCTCGGAATTTCCCTCTTATTTAAGAACAAAGTAAATTGCTCGCGTGTTGCTATGATAGCTTGTTGATGACATTATTTATATTTGAAATAAAAATTCTTATTAAAGATACATTTTTGTGTGTGAGACTGTGTAAAAGATCTTTAAACAGGTTAATGTAGCTGGATTTAAACAAACTTGCTGATATGCATGGGCAGGAGGAAAATTGGACAGACTTTGTGTATAACTCTTTGAGTATTATTTCTGACCAGATCTTAATGTAAATAATGCTTACTCTCATAAAACAAACACAGCAGAGTTTGCACCATATGTTTTATAATTATTTGGTAGCCTTTTTTATTTGCTTGTTTTTATTGAAATAGAACCTACAGCTAACTCTCTGAAGTTGTGCTCATATAAAGGGCAATTATATTTGCACCCAGACAAACTTAGCATCACAAACTAATGTCTCTGGGCCGCTTTGGTTTAAAAAATAGTAATAATTTAGAGAATATGCCCCCCCCAACTCCCAGGTCACAGCCCAAACAGAAATCTGTTCTACTCTCTTGGTACCAGTTTTCTGACTTTGCACATGTGGGAAAAAATAGAGTCCTTAGGAGAGACTTGGAGAGACTTGCCTAACCTCTACAGCCACTGGGGGTGTTCGGCTGGCTTAAGACGCTGTGGAGTGGCCTTTGAAATGAGGTTACTGTGTTCTCTTGTTTTTGTTTTTTTACGGTCCTACTTGCAGGTGTTTGATAGTGTCAAAAATAAAGGCCCCCGTTAAAACATTTAGGTAATTTTTAAAACTGTTATTATATTCATAATCACTGTTTCTCTTGATCTCAGGGGAGGCTGGGTACCCTTGATTATCTTTAATAGAGCATATGAAACTGATAGTGCCCATGGGAGGTGGGTGGCAAGTTTTGTAAGAAGCCTACCCCCTCTCTCCCCCTCCCTGCTTATTGCTAAACACATCTCTTGGCAAATGCAACAATATTCATAATTATCAGACCCTGCCAGCCCGTACTACAGAGCTGCTTCCACAGGACACCTGTCCAACTCTTGCCCCTTTCCTGTACCTTCTCTTGTCCCGGCTTGCTGGCTCCCCTCATGTCAAAGCAACAGGCGGCCATTAGTGAATTCGTATCTCTTGTCAAATTCAAAGACACCAGCAGTTCCACCCACACAGTTTACAACATCAGCCATGGATGGTGGCACAGCGTCCACACAGTAGGCACTTAAGAAACCCACATGAATGAGTAAGCCATGTGAATGCAGACGTTTCTCCGCCCTGTGGTTTCCACCCCTGTACATGAAATGCTTTTCCTGCGTTTGACAGATGTGCTTAGCACAATTCGATGCTTTTCTGTAAAAGATCATCTTGGTCAGTGCCTCGTCGTCTAGATTGAGGAAACAGTTTAGTTTTATGCATTCCTTTGAGGACCACAGGATCTCTGTTGACTTTCACACTGGTTAGTAATTCCTGTGAATGAGAAACAGTAGAGAAAATAGAGTACGTTCTACTGCTTTTGCTCTCAAATACAGTAATAGAGGAGAATTCCTCAGCAGTATTTATAGTGGCCGAAAAGCAGAGGATGAAACTCCTATTCAGTTCGAAGCACTACGGAGAGGAAGTTTGTTACGGGAGGGATGAACCACGAATGCTCTTTAGAGGCGGATGAGTGCAGCTGCTTGGTCCC